TCAGACCTCCGCATTCTTAAAGGAACCCTCCCCTTGTCCCCGCCTCTCCCGCCAACACGGGCCCCTCCTGTGTCTGAGAGTCCTGGGAGCACTCCACCAAGGATGCCTCCCCAGCCCCCAGCAAGCCACTCCTAAACCCTGGCGGCCTGGCTCCCTTCCAGCTCTGCCCGCTGTTTGCTCTTTTCTCAGGCCTCAGGCCCTCTGACTCCCTGTGGCACTGGGCTCTCCAGCCTCCCCACTCCCTCTCAGGGAAGCCATCCAGATGGTCAGACCACTCTGCCTCTCTTGACCCCGTGAGTGCCCCGGGTTGCTGTGCCTTGCTGCCTTCTCCCTCCTCCCTTCAGAGAGCCGGTGACCTTCCACAGCCTCAGAGGCTGTCTTGGGGACGTGATCTCCTAGTGTGGGCCTCCATCCTGCTTCCGCCAGTCCTGAATATCAGCTGGTGAGGACAGAGGCGGCCTTGACTCCCTGGGGAGGAGGGGAGCACCTGCCTCCACGGAGGGTCCCTAACGCAATAGCTCTGTCCCTGGGCCTGGGATGTGGCTGCTTCATCTCCACAAACCAGCTCCTCCTCCTGCCCCCCCCACCCCCACCCCTCTTGTCCCCCACCCCACGGCACCTCCTCCTGATGCCCATCAGGCTTGGAGCCCAGGGGTTCATCTCGGATACTTTCCTCACCCTGACCACAGCCAACTCTTTGTCAGATTGTAAGGATTCCCCCTCGGGGTCCTCTTCCCTGCCCCAGTGCCCACAGTGAGTATCTTTAACAATGAAACTTATTTGTCCTCTACCGGACTCCACTCTGGCTTGGAGGAGAACTCCGCCCTTGTCTGATGCTGGCCTTCGTAGCTATCTCCCTGCCCCCAGCTGCCCAGCCCAGTCACCCCCCATTCTCCTGCCACCACTTCCTTAGAAACTTCCAGATGTTCATGGCTCCCCAAGTAGACATTTAGGGACATTCTGAGCCCTTTGATGCCTGATCTGGATGTCCCTTGCCACTCTTCCCTCCATTCCCTTTCTGTGCTAGTCCCTTGCTTACCTGACACCAAAGATCTTACTCCTCCCCCAACACAGGCTACCACTGTCAACAGCAGGCCTTTCATCTGGCTGGTTCCTGGGGGGGGGGGGGGGGGGGGGGGGGCCGGGCGTGCCCTCACTGTTGCCCCACCTTTCTTCTCTGGAAGCAACAGGGTCCACGTTCCTCTTCATGATGATGGTTGAAGGGCTTGGCTGTTGCAGATCTTCACGGCTCTAGAAGACTCTTCCCAAAGTAGGGTTGGGGTATGGGTGCTCAGAGTTAACCCGGGGCAGAAAGGGACTGTTAATGGCACTGAGCTAAGACCAGGTTGGATGGGCTCCCGGGTTGGATGGGTTTCTATTATTAACCACATGGACTAGAAAGAAACCAACCAGGATGGTGTCTGAGGCTTCCCAGGTCCTGCAGCCCCAGAGAAAGGTTTCTGGGTTAGAGCCACTGCACCAAGGGGCAAGGCCTCTGGGTGATGACGGTTATCAGTTGGGCCAGTAAATGGAAGGCCAGCGAGGAAAGTCTGAGTCAGTCCTTGTGGTTGGAGGTAAGTGTCTCTGCTTTAGATCCAGCAAGTCTGTTTCTTGGAATTCCGGGTGTGTTTTTCTGTCTTGTGCTTCATGGGCACCACGGTGTGGCGGCGAGAGCCTTGTGAACGAACACTCGGTGTCACTGCAGAGTGAGTGACCTGGGCTGTAAAGATGCGGGGGCAAGTACTGGGGCCAGTACAGAAGAAGGGCCTGAGCCTGAGACCAGGACAGCATCTGTAAAGGCCAGTAGAGCTGAACGCGTGGATTTGCAGTACGGGCTTCAAGGTGGAGCACCTGGAGCACCCCAGGGGATGCAGGAGAGCAGAGCATTTTTCCTGTAGGTCTGGGCCTTAAAACAGTATTTCAAAAATCAAAACTAACTCTCTGTCTCTCTCCCTCCCCCTCCCCCCCTCCCTCTCTCCAAAAGGGGGCTGCAACACCACAGACAACCAATCCCCGGTGGTGCCTTAGGCGCAAGGCTCCAGGCCAGGCTGAGTGTTGGGCCGCAGCGCCCCCTGGAGGCCCAGGAGATTCAGGCACTTGGATCCACTTCAAGGTCAAGTTTTCTGATAGGAATTAACAGAGGGACAGAATAAACATACTAAAGCATCCACTAAATACGGTTGTTCCCGTGTTCCGTGAAGAATAAGAAAATGCCTGGGGCCATTCCAGAAGGTTTCCTTGTGGGTATGCCCCGGCTCTCAGCCTTCCTCCTGGCTGACTTCCCCTGTTGCCAGGGGAAAGACCCACACTACAGGTGTTCGTCTTGCCTTGGGATCCCTCCCACTCCCGAATCTAGGTTGAGTTACTGAGTGTTGAATAATACACAATTGGAGTCAACACTCTGGCAGAGGAGTTGAGCTCCCATCTCCAATTTCTGGGCTAAAAGACAGATTGCATGTCCCCTCAATTTTCCTGGTTGTCCACACCCCTACCAGTCACGAACCATCTCAAAGACAACTAGTCTCACCCTCATTGAGGCAGAGGAAGGGGACTGTTTTACCTGGTGCAGCAAGATGTGCTTTGTTCATCCAGAAGCTTTCAGAGAAGGCCCTGGGACCTGCAGATTTCCAAACTAATGCTGTAGCAACAGCCAACACTGTCCCTGGAGGCCGGCCCCTTAGCTACCCACAGGCAGTGGTGGAAAATCAGAAATAAAAGCATGTGTGTGTGATATATATATATATTTACTTGTGGGGCAAGATCAAATTCCTTTTCTGATGGCTGTGGGGTCAACAGGAGAGGAAGCCATCGTTTCTGAGATAAAGCAGGGTAGGGTAAGGGAGGAGGGGAGGGGAGGTGGGAAGGGGCTGTTTTTCACCTTGTCCTGGGTGAAGTGGGGAGATGGCCCGGCAAAGGCCAATTCTCTAGGAGGCTTAAGCCTCAGGGACCCTCATCCACACAGGCCCCTGCCAAGGCCCTTTGAAGGCTCCTTGCAGTGCATTCCCATGGTTATATATATAATTGTGTTTTCATGAGTTTGTATATTTCTTTAAAAATTTTTTATGTTTACTGATTTTTGAGAGAGAGAGAGCACAAGCAGGAGGGGCAGAGAGAGAGGGAGACACAGAATCTGAAGCAGGCTCCAGGCTCCGAGCTGTCAGCACAGAGCCGGATGTGGAGCTCGAACTCATGAATCGTGACATCGTGACCTGAGCTGAAGTGGGATGTTTAACCGACTGGGCGCCCCAGTTTGTATTTTTCTTCTGAAAGAGCAAAATCCCCTTTGGTTTTATGAGCTTCAGGCTCCCCTGAACCTACATCTTCCCATAGGACCTGGAGCTGGGTAGGAACTGTGCAGGTAAATGATTATAAAGGCCTAAACTAAGGCAGATCAAGGGGGAATGAGAGGAACAGAAGAGAGATATGTCTTAATGAAAAAGTGCTGTCACTTACTGACCTGTAGCTCTTGCTGATGGGGGTGGGGGGAGGTGGTTTGCCTCTTCTCTGGTGTCCATACTGTTCAGAATAGTGCCTAGCACACGAATACTTGTGTAATGAATACTTGTCTGGGAGGTACAGGTCAGGAACTCATGACTAACTAGGTATGTGGGGGTCCCACAGAGTGCTCCAAATAGATGGGCTTAGTACACCCACCACCTGTCCCCCAGCCCTGCCCTGTCACCCGGACCCATTCCTGAGGTAGAAAGCATCAAGGTCTCTCCCTTTTAACCTTCGATGGCCACTTGGCCAATGGGAGCCAGGTCCTTGGAATGCACCACACAGTGAAAAGGACTCAGGGTCTGGAGACTCGAGTAGGCAATACTCTTGCCTAATTATCATTATAGTTAATATAATTAAATATTATCACCTAATTATCCTTAGCGACAGTCACTTCCTGGGTAAGCCTGGGGTGCTGAGGGTCCATTGGTGCGATGGTTAAGTGTTTCACAACCGCCTCTCAAAAAATAAACCTGATTTGTAGCATCTGCTGATTTTCTTTTCTTCTTTTTTCAAAAATTTTTTTTAATGTTTATTTATTTTTGAAAGAGAGAGATAGCACTCGAGTGGGGGGGCGGGCAGTGGGCAAAGAGAGGGAGACATAGACTCTGAGGCAGGTTCCAGGCTCTGAGCGGTCAGCACAGAGCCCAGTGCAGGGCTCGAACTCATGGACCATGAGATCATGACTTGAGCCAAAGCTGGATGCTTAACCGACTGAGCCACCCAGGCGCCCCACATTTGCCAGTTTTCATGAGGTATGTTTCCACCATGGCTAGTTTCAAACTACTAATGTTCCTGAACGTGTTGGGAAGAGACGCACACAAGAAGTTCTCCAGAGCCCAGGCAAGCAGAAGTAAAGCGCCCCGGTGTGGGCCCCAGTGATACAAGCTTCCCCTTGAACAAGAATGGTGGACAAGGGGACTCCATGTTCTGGGTCAGGCTGCGTGTGGGCAGTTTTTACTGGCGACGTCACTTCAGATTAGGTGAAAGGTATGTGGGTGATCAATTTGGCTCAATGCCCACCTTTTTTTTTTTTTAGGTTTTCAAAAAAGGTTGATTTTTTAAAAAAAATTATAGTCTAACACAGTAATTTTACACATACACTCGATAATTTTTTTTTGCACATATATACCCATATAGCCCCTGTTCAGATTAAGATACAAGCCCTTTTCCACACCCCAGCAGCCTCTCTGGAACCTCCACCCCATCAATGCATGCCCCTCTCCTGACTTCTATTTTTTTTTTTATTAATTTTATTTTTTTTAAATTTACATCCAAATTAGGTAGCATCTAGTGCAACAATGATTTCAGGAGTAGATTCCTTAGTGCCCCTTACCCATGTAGCCCATCCCCCCTCCCACAACCCCTCCAGTAACCCTGTTTGTTCTCCAGATTTATGAATCTCTTCTCTTTTGTCCCCCTCCCTGTTTTTATATTATTTTTGTTTCCCTTTCCTTATGTTCATCTGTTCTGTGTCTTAAAGTCCTCATATGAGTGAAGTCATATGATATTTGTCTTTCTCTGACTAATTTCACTTAGCCTAATACCCTCTAGTTCCATCCACGTAGTTGCAAATGGCAAGATTTCATTCTTTTTGATTGCCGAGTAATACTCCATTGTATATATATACCACATCTTCTTTATCCATTCATCCATCGAGGGACATTTGGGCTCTTTCCATACCTTGGCTATTGTGGATAGTGCTGCTATAAACATGGGGTGCATGTGTCCCTTCAAAACAGCACACCTGTATCCCGTGGATAAATGCCTAATAGTGCAATTGCTGGGTCGTAGGGTAGTTCTATTTTTAGTTTTTTGAGGAACCTCCATACTGTTTTCCAGAGTGGCCGCACCAGCTTGCATTCCCATCCTGACTTCCAGCACCGTAAACGAATTTTCTCCATCTTTGGAGTTCATCTAAATGGCATCATGCACTGGGTGGTTTTCTTGTATCCGGCTTTTACTCATTGTTATATCTGTGGGATTTTATCCATGTGTCATGGGTAAGAGTTTTCCCATTTCTGGGTAGTTTTCCTAGTGCTGACTTTTAATAACTTTACCTCAATAAAAGGTTTTTGTTTTGTTTTAATGCTTCTCATGCCTATCTTTGTCACTCACCTATGAAACTGTGGATTCCACAGGTTGGCCCTCCTGGCCATATAGTCAGTCCCCCCAGTGCTCTGTTTCTCCTTGGCCCCGACTCATCCTCCCAAAACATTGGCCATACCACTCAGAGTCCCTTCTCCATAGTTAGCCAACTTCCTCATATTCTCGATATTTCTTGAAAGGTTTCTCTCATCTATAGTCTTTTTTTTTTTAACGTTTATTTATTTTTGAACAGAGAGAGACAGAGCATGAACGGGGGAGGGTCAGAGAGAGGGAGACACAGAATCCGAAACAGGCTCCAGGCTCTGAGCTGTCAGCACAGAGCCCGACGCGGGGCTCGAACTCACGGACCACGAGATCATGACCTGAGCCGAAGTCGGCCGCTTAACCGACTGAGACACCCAGGCGCCCCATCTCATCTATAGTCTTAACTGAAACCTGAGTGACACTGATTATGAACTGAATATTGATGTCTGAAATTCATATGTTGAGGCCTTAACCCCAATGTGATTGTATTTGGAGATAGGCCTGTGAGGAGGTGATAAAGGTTACATGACCTAAGGATGGGGCCCTAATCTGGTAGGGTTGGTGGCCTTGTGAGAAGAGGAAGGGAGAGCTCTTTCCCTACCATGTGATGACAGTGAGTAGCCAGCCATCTGCAAGCCGGGAAGAGAGTCCTCACCAGGAAATGAATTGGCTGGCACCTTCATCTTGGACTTCCCAGCCTCCAGCACGTAAGAAAAGAAATGTCTGCTATTTAAGCCCCTAGTCCATGGTATTTTGTCACGGCAGCCTGAGCAGACTGAGATAACACCCAAGGTCAGCCTTTCTCCCAAGGCCCTTTCTAGCAGTGACCATTTATTCCCTTTCACCTCACTACATGTGAGTATTTGGCATTTGATCTTGCCCTACTTTCAAGCTGATAAGTCAACCTGTTACCGGACGTTAATGTCAACCTGTTAACGGATGCTGGCAGAAGACGCACGACTCCTGGAGCAGAGACACTTTATTGCTCACAGCACAGCAAGTTCAAAAGCATCACGTTTGCATCAGTTCCCTCGCCCTCCAAGTCCCACAGGGGCACATGGAGGAGCCCTCTGGGGGCTGTTGCGTCTGGGGAACATGAGAACGGGGAAGCTGCCTCTTTTGCCGAAGGCAGTAAGCAAGCTCTTTGTCTTAGAGATAGGGCTTCATTCCTCAAGGTTACCGGACACACCCAACCCTAAGAAATAGCCCAGATGGAGTGGTCGGGGCCTTATATGCTTGACATGCCCAGTAAAAAATGTACAGCGGTGCCCAGGGCCGATGTGGTTTGCCTCTCCCAACCATCGACCCTGTGCACGATTGGCTGACTCGAATGTTCACATGAATATGCCACTCCATCCGCCACTCTGATTAGTTTGATCAACAGAGACTGGGACCAAATCTGCTCCATCTGTCTCATACAGAATCTAATTAAGGCTACTATCTATAGAACTTCCAGCATCAAGATGAGGCCACCCTAAAAGTATTAGCTTCAAACTTGCCACCGAGGGTCCCAGATCCAGTCACCAGTGAATCAGTCCCAAGGGAATCAGTAGGTCTTACTCCAGACAGTTAGGATAGAGTCTAAACCCGGGCCGTTATCCATTAAAATTCTCACAAGTGAGTTTTGGACTAATCTGCTGATTTCTGCTATCACTGCCAATAATTATAAGAGGCAGTGGATGGGCCAAAAAGCAATCCCATCTCTGACGGAGAGATTCCATGGCCCACATACAAACATATGCCTTGAAGACTCACATGCCACTCCAATTCAAGATTGGCGGTGAATTCTGATTTGTGCCATCATTACACTGCTTTGCTTGAGCCACATGGGCAGTGTCACCAAGGAGGTACAGCCTCATCCGCCACACATGAACCAAGACCACTCGGGTGACAGGGAAATTCTGCCCACTTGTACCAGTCAAAGTGCAACAGGGGTGGGCTGGATGGTGTATTTGTACAAGTACAGGGCGCGGCGCGGGGGGGGGGGGCTTCCGTATTCAGGAGCTGCCATTGGTGACAAAGGGCACAGCCGCATAGTCTGGGACCATCCCTGCCTACATGTTTCCTGTTTCCATGGCAGGCGGACAGGATGACAAAGCCAGGTGGGTCAGGTTTCTGGCTGAAGCTTAACTCCTATCAACCAGGTGATGGTTTTGCCAGGATTTGGGGGACAAAGAGAATGTTAATCATCCCTCCCTCCCTGCTCCCACTGGCATCTGGGTGCCACCAGGCCTCCGTGGCTATGGGAGGAGTGTGCCCCATGCCAATAGCTACACCTTCACCTCTTCTCCAGTCTTTCCCTATTCACACCCTGACCTTTTATCTGGAGGGGCCAGGGGTGAGTGCGACAAAATGTACAGAGACCTATTATATCTCCCGCCTTGGCTTCTGTGGGCCAGCGTAGGGGGACTGGGCAAGCAGTCTACTCAACCGAGTGGTCATTACCTTTGTGACCTGGGATCGTGTACATCCATCAGGAGAATCCAGGTGGCTAAATCAGAATGAAGTTTGAATCCCCTAGGCCTCCTTTGCCAGGCTGACAACTGGAGGCTGTACCGGCTAGACTGGCCTGGGGTTATTGTTGGAGGAAAAAAGGAAGCACCGTCTATTCCCAGGATTAGTCAGAATCTCAAATCTCCAGAAAAGGTCTATAGAATCCACCCCTCTTGTCCCGATCATTACCTAAGAAATGGCCGAAGGAGGATTCCTGTCTGGGGACAACTGCGTGCAGTGACCACACTGTCTCACTGAAATGTGTGGACCAAAAGGAGATGAGGTAGGCAGTCAGAAGCTGAGTTTATTTTTGAGGAGGCCATTCCAGTGCCCCCAACTATGGAATGCCTGCAGATGGTAGGGAGGATGGCGTGGCCAGCAAATACCTTGACGAACACCCAGGGTTGGGTGGCTTTTGCAACAAAGAGGCAGCCTTGTCAGACTGTGGATGGTGTGAAAAGCCAAAAAGTTGGCATGGCTTAGTTACAAGGGCCACAGTGGTGTGACCAGTCTCCTGCTCAGACTAGAACCTGAAAATCTGCCCACAGCAGTGAGGCACCAGTGAGAGTCCAGAGAGGGGGGTCAAAGGTCTGAGGTGGTCAATCATCCAAGAGCAGGCAGGAGCGATGCCCCATGCAGTGCAGCCTCTTTACTGTAAGACAGACAGTCCAACTTTGGGGAGGCATCCCAAAGCTGGTATGTAGCCATCCCAAAGGAGGCTTCTTCATCAGAAAGATACAAGTCTTTACTTTGCGCTCTGTCCACAGCGGTGGATGTGTCACCATGTTTGGTGCAACGATGGATCCAGGCAGTGGTATGGCCACTGAAGGCTGGATCAACAGGCTGATTCCGGTTGGTCATACCAGAGAAGGGTCCTGACTGTGGGCATCTCTCTGAATGACCCAGGCTGTCTGATTGGCAGATAAATTTGTTTCCACGGTTTGCAGCTCCCAAGAAAAATGTCTTCGATTGGCCGGTCTTGCAGACAAGACAGCCAGCCCATTGACAACAACACAAAAGGCAGTAAAAATGTACCTGGCCTCATCACGGGAAGTATTAGCCGGGGCTATCAGCACTGCCTTGAGTTCTGCACATTGAGCAGAATGACCATGCATACTTCTGATTCTTTTTTTCTTTTAATGTTTATTTGTTTTTGAGAGAGACAGACAGACATAGCATGAACACGGGAAGGGCAGAGAGAGAGAGGGGGACACAGAGTCTGAAGCAGGCTCCAGGCTCTGAGCTGTCAGCACAGAGTCCGAAGTGGAGCTTGAACCCATGAACCACGAGATCATGACCTGAGCTGAAGTCGGACGCTTAACCGACTGAGCCACCCAGGCGCCCCCATACTTTTGATTCTGCATCGTTAGTGCCGAGGTTGAATGTGGACATCATCGGGTATCAGCTTAGTTAAACCACCAGGGAACCAGGCAGGCACTTGGGGGACACTCTGTGAATTGAGGGCCCCATTGAGGTAGCAGCTTTGCTTCATGTGATGAGGTGAGGAATGGAGCTCTCCCCAGAGGGATCGCCACCACCCTTTCGTGTACAATTCAGATAATGTCAGGGCCAGGCCAGCTGTGCTCTTGAATAAAGAATTTCCATTTGACTGTTAAGGATTTTTTTGTCCCCTTCTCTTGAGAGCCACCAAATCCAAGTTGACCTGTTCCAAAATGTCAGGTTGGAGAGTGACAGGACCTGTATAGGTCAGTAACAAGTTACTAGGTTCCTTTTTTTAAAAAGCGATGTACTTTGGGACTGCGTCCGGCTGGTGGCGCTGTTGTGCTGGAAGATGGCCTCTGGCGTAATTGCGGCCGTTGAGGCCATTCCTCCCGTTAACTTTTCTCCTCTTGGAAGCCTATAGTTTCTTCTGGGCTATTCCGAGTGCTCAGGAATCACCTGGGGACAAACAGTAGCCTCCGAAAGGGCAAATGCGCTGACACTTAGGGGCACTCACGGCACAAGCCTGTACAAGCACCAATACCAATTATATTTTCAGCCGTGGCAGCCCCCGCGCGGTACATTGACTTGGCACAAAGGACCCCGCTACGGGGCCGCTTTCATTTCCCTTCCCTACTGCAAACGTTGCTCAGAGCCCAGCAATTGAAAAAGAATTTTTTCTTTCTTTTTTTTTTTTACCTTATGGGAAAACAGACCAAGGAGTTCATTGTGCGCCAATCAGGAGCTGTCGCAACAGCTGCAGGAGACCTTGCCATTCCAAGGGGCGGGGGTGGGGTAGGGGGGGTGGCAAGGAATGCTGGGGAAGGGGTGGAAGGAGGGATGGGGGAGAGCAGAGAGTGCTGCAGGGGAGCAGTGGGGGCAGCTGGCAGGATATTATTTTCTCTTGGCTTCCGGGTTTAGAGTTGGCATACCACTGCCCCCCCTCCCCCCGGGGATCTCTTGGGTGAGGCTTGGGCGCCCCCCCCCCCAGGGGCTTTTACCGCCCCCGCCCCCCCCCCCCCC